TGCATTGTTTATTTTAGAAAAATAATGAAGCAGGCTTTTGGAGATGGATCCTGTAGTTCACAGACAGCTTGGATAGCATATGTTCTTCGGAACCTAAGAGCGGAAAACAGTATTTGAAATCTGGACTATTATTGACTCATTCATGACAAAGTTTTATCATTTAATTTTTTTGGCACTGAACAGTCCACTCCTGTTTTGGGGGCTTTAACAAAATAGGTTATTCAACATTGTACCACTCTATCAACACAATGTAGCGAAGTAGTTTCCACTGTGGATAACACATTTACCTATTTAGCAGGGAATTTGTGCTACCGCACATTTAAAAAATAAACACAGCGAAATTTAGAATTCCATGTTTCCAAGTCTAGCCTCTAGGTAGAACAAAGGCGGTAGTAGGAGGCGTCAAACTTACCGCGTACTGACACAGATGGATTGAAACTTTCAGTAATTGCAGATTAGTGCATATAAACGAGTGCCTAAATTGTACTTAAACAAAAAAACTACTTTCACAAGTATTTAGTTCGTAGACACAATTAAGTGCTTGCACATCGTCGCCCGTTCCACAGCAATTTTGGCGTTGCTGTCAACTTAAATATGCCTACAAAGCGGTTCCTTCCACCCGATTTGTCATTGAAACTATGCTTTTGAACATTCTCGGCCTTGTAGATTGTGAATTAAGGATACTTCTTAGTTCTTAATGAGAAATTCACCATATTCTTATCGGTTTTATTGTGGTTTCAAGGATGTGCGTTAATCATTAAAGACACTTACTAATTCATCATGCACGAGTTAAATGTATACTGCATATACATAACGCATACCGCATAGACTCATGTTGTATCGTTAATATGCTCCCTCAGTTGGAAGGGATTGTCAATTTGCAGCTTATGAAGTTGGCCTTCTATCGCAACGTTATAAGACTTGGAATTTGCGTGTATTTTTTTAATGACTTGAAATTTGGATCAGCAAAAAAATAACTGTAAGTTTCTGTCGCTTTTTTCCAGGTTACAATCTTGAGGTCACCCGTTACGCTAATACCCATACCTCGACATCCGCCCCTTCAACTGCAACAAGTGATTCTCACACTGAGTATCTTCCTCTTAATGTGGATGGTGAAAGTCTCATCCAAGTGAAAGCAACAGAGTCTCGCCCACTACTAACTCCACCTCGACCTCCGCAGCCTGACTCTTTCTCAGAGGAGGAGGCGACGGGAGGAGAGGGAGGCGAAAGTGTTGAAGGACGCAAAGTTGATAGCGAGGACATTGGCAATCTTCGAGATCTATTCTCTATTCCTGAGCCATCCAGCCTAACCTTCCAGTGCTCCCCTTCGGCGTCGATCTCTCCCTCGCCTCTTCCCTCCCTAGGTATCGAATCAGGTTCTGGCCTTTCCTCCAACGTCTCTTCAGAAAGTGGTCATCAGTACCACCAGCATCGTCATGCAAGCGTCACAAAACCCCTAAGTCTCAGAGTACGCCATCCATCTAGTGCTAGGAGTGCCATGGAACAAATTCGGTACACTCTTACTGGGTTGGAAATAGGAACTAAGTATCGGTAGGTTTTAACAATTATTATTAACTGTGTTTGTTAGTAGTGATATGTTTGACATATCAACTTACCTTAAATGAACTGGTTGGATTCCTGATATGTAAATCAACTGAATTTTTTGGTATGATAAATGTGGTATTATGGGAATAAAAGGAAATATTAAAAGATTTAGATGTATTACCCATCTTCTTTCAATCGTCATCATTTGCACTGCCCAAGTGGTCGCTTTAACGGTATTAGTGTTCAATAAGCTTTTTTTGTCCCAATTGCTGTTGCATTTCGTAAATAATCTGAAGTAAGGTTCTTACACACATTTTAATCCAACACTACTTTCCACCGTTGAGACTTATAGTAATTGAAGCATCATCTATTTCCTTCATGCACGAAGGGAACTCAGTGCTGAATTGGGTGCGAGCTTTTTTTTAAAAGTTTGTCTTGCTGAACTCTTACCTATGATTTTTCGACCACTACCTTGTCTATTTGAAATTGCTTTCATTCCAGTCCACCCCGCAAGCACTCCTTTTTGGCAACACCAGTGGCAGAACAGTGTTTAACGGTTTATCTAAACGATTGTTCTGCACGACTATAAACTGGCATTAGTAACAAGTAGTAAGTCAAAGGCGTCACCACTTCATCGCGGCCTGGTCCATTAATATTGATTGCTCAACGTTTTGGTGGCATTTTCCATGATAGTCGTTAGCTTTCTCGTGCCCTATGACTGCAGAGCTTATTGAGAGAATCACAATAAACGAAAGATTGCTTAGTTCCCCTCCTTAAACATGCCCTATGTATTTTGCTTCGTCCCATTCCTAGCGCTCCCCAAAGAGAATACAAGTTAGGAATCTATCTTGAATGTCATAACGCAGACACTACTGTGCACCACTGTTAATTAATGTCCAGTCAGCTACTCTCGTATGCTCCGATGTGGTGGGGATTACTGAAGTGGATTATTGTGGGTAACAGGTCCATTGCTTAACTCATTTTCTCACACAGTGAAATAGTCGTATCACAGGTTGTATGATAAGCACAGTGTGTCTTCAACAAAACCTGATAGATTGCATTGTACTGAGAGGGCAGGCGATGCAATTGTTATTTCCATCAGATAATGGATCAAGGGGTAGGTTCATTATTACTTACGGCCTAACAGATGACAGTTCTACTTCTTTGATGATTTTTTGAGTGTTAACTAGCCGCTCCTTGGCAACGGAAACGATGTCTGTCTAAGGTCATATTGCCTGAGGTAAACATTTTTGGGCACCGAAGTGGGCGTTTTCAAAACAAATCACTTTCAACGATGTAAATCACACATCATAAATGATACCTGACAATTTTCTCAATGCTCCTTATCGTGCAATTAGTAGCAAACTAAAAAAAATCTTCATAAGAGCTGAAGGAAACTTGATGACCAAATTTTTTTTAAGATACAATCTTCGATGGAGGGATGATCGGGCAGAGCCACATTTTAGATGTACCTCTTACATACTCCCTTATCAAAACTCGTTTCCATCTCAAGCTTCAACTATAACGAATCTCGTGCAACTAGTAGTACTTTAATAAGGGACCTATGTAAAAAGTAATCCAATTTCTTGCACTTCACTAGATAATTTATGTATAGGGTTTTCCCTCCATTAAGAACCACTAGCACCATTCATGATCTTTTCATGAAATTTCTCCTTATTCCATTTTTAACTCACTCTTGAGTCAACTTTTGTCTACAGAGTTCGTGTACAGGCGCTGAACGCGGTTGGTGTGAGCCCCTTCTCAGGGATTCTGCACTTTTCGACCCTCCCACCGCTTCCGATGCCACTCACGTTGTGTTGTATTGGAACTACCGCAAGTGGTATCAAGCTTCGTTGGTCTTCATCCGTCGAACCTTACGAAACCGATGGGGCACACTCGAAGTCGAAGTTACCGGCCTCAGCCAATGTCAGGTACATCCTCGAAATGAGCAAAAAACCAGAATCCAGGTAAACTATATTTTTGATAACAATATCACTCATTTACTTACTGCCGTACTCAACACCTCTCCTCGCTTCATTGTCCCTTTTGCGCACACTAATGTTTTGCAGAGGATGGGTAACTATCTTCGAAGGGCCACAAACCTCTTTTAAGGCGCGCAAACTCTCGGAAGCCACACACTACTACTTTCGTGTGGCCGCAGTTAATATCAGCGGAAAAGGTGCCTTCTCCGAGGTTCTACAGGAAAAGACCGCCTACTCGCAACCACCACCTGTCGAAGGTAAAATCCATTGTTATATGGTCTCATATGTTGTGCATGAGTGGCGAGAAGGTTCCTTTAAAAACTTGACGATTCACGTTGTTCTCATGTCACTGAACAAGCCTTTAGGATTGACCACTTGATATAGTTTTGGTGGGTTTCCTCAAGCGTCCATTGCCTTTTTTTATTTTCGTCAGCACCGCAAGCGGTTGATGTCTCCAACACTCAATGCAAACTTCAGTGGCCAGCGCTGACCATCACGGGACAGGATCCGCTGCTCTATTTGGTTCAATTGACCCGTGTTCCTGGTATCTCTATCACGACCACTATCCCGAAAACAGTGTCGAGGTCTTTACAGTCGATTGAGTCTGAAACGGCGGCTTCGGCAGGGGCGGTGGCAGAAGCGTGGGAAGGGGAAGAGGAGGCGGTAACAGTATACCGAGGGGCAGAGACTTCTTGTACTATTAGTAATCTTATCTCTGGTACCAACTACATTGCGCGAGTCTGCGCCATCCGCTGTTGCCAAACGGAACCTTCGGAACAATCACCTTTTCCGACTTCTAGGATCAAAGTTAACCAGGAACCTGATGCCCTGCAGGTTTGTTTCTATACTGTGCAGAAGGTAAATCAGAGATCGGACAGATGGAGGCGCTATTCGGTTCATACACATTTATATTTTAGGCTTCATTGCCAGCCTGCTCATCCAGTTCAACATGCGCAAAAATCATGCTTATTCACGGTCCCTTCTCCATTGGTACGGTTTTTACAACCCTACCTGACAAGCGGATATTCGTTGGCGAGTTTATCAACTCCGTGTTGCTCAGGTCGAGCCTTATTAACCATCGTA